TAAGCGAAGATCTAGGTAAGGCCAGTACCGACCACTCGTTCAGCGTAGCGAGGGAAAAAAGCTAGCTTTGGTAGGTACCGGCCGATTTTCCTTTAACGAAAACAGAACAGACACGTCCAGTAATCTCGACGAGCGACGAATAGTCATTTATTACTTAGCGCGTACAAAGCGTCCGAAGTTGGTACAATTGAGTTACGAATCTCCTTGGTTAGTAGCGAGTGGAGGGGCAACCCTAGTGGACTAGAAAAAAAATTTAACGAAACAGATCTACTCGACTAAATCGTTCTACTAAACTACTCGACTAAATTCTCGCATCTACACACAGCGGGCTACTAAATTACTAAATTACCAGGCACACGACTTTCTTACTCGCCACTCGACTAAACGACTGCGCACGTTCTACTAAAACTACTCGACTAAAGACTCTCGGTATTTACACGCGTCGAGTTACTAAATTATTCGTCACTCGATTAAAATACCGAGGGCCGTGTCTGTGCGAATTTCAAATTGTTACATTTCTTGCCACTCGACCGATGTTTTTGCTTACTTACGATGATCGAACTTTTACGAGCGACATGACTTTGCCAATGACAAATTGGAGAAGCCGGAGGACCCTCGGGTCGAGGCGTTTATTCTGGTTGCCTAGGGACGCTCGAAGCACATCGATCGATCAGCGAATTTCCCTTTCCGCGAGTGAACGCATTGGAACGTGACCGATTTCCGTACGACGTGTGGCAACAAGTGTGCCAGTGGATCGTAGGAGGTTCGATGAATCGCAACACCGTTATGAAAACGTCACCAAATGCATAACAATCGATGAACGCCTTATCCTATTCTCTCTTTCGCTCCCTTCGATTCGTCGTTTCGGGGCGAAGCACGAAAAGGCGACACCGTAACGCGGCGCAGGTGACGATTCAAATTCGAGCGTTCGAGGCGAAAACGAACCACGAATACAGAACTTGAACACCGTTACGCGCTTAATATGCAACGACGGTGTTATCGTTCGAGGGGAGAAGATGGAACAGTGTGTACGTTTCCTCGGTCGTTGGTTTATCGTCATTCGAAAACTTCGAGTCCCCAGGATCGTTCCATCGAGAGTTCCGACTCTGTCGTAAACGTACGCGCGCGCGCGCGAGTTCTGTTTCTCCGCTTACTCTGCTAGAGCGAGCGATGATCGAGAAGTACCGGAAAAATTTGCGAATCTTTCGCGTCTTTGGACTGTTATTTTTATTAACGATCGTAGTCGCGAACGCTCGCGAAATCTCGAAAAACGCGACTACGATCACCAACGATGACGATGCAGCCGTCTCAACGTCTATCAGCCGCGAGGACAAAATGGAAGCGAGATCTGAAGGAGAGACTCTGCTGGGAATAGAACCATCGACGAGAAGCGTTGAATGGAAAAATAGCGGTCCATTTACTCGTGGCAAGGACAGCTATTTGGACGCATTAAGACATTCCCGAACTAGCACGGATCCTCGCGAAGGAATAGTTGCAGTAGATGCAACGACAAGTAGCTCTATTCAACGAAGAAAGGAACAATCGGTGGGACCAGTCTATGCAGGGAAAAGGTCCGAGATATCCTTCCAAACCAGCTCGGACAGAGATTCCTTCTCCATGGTACCAAGCGATTCGTATTCCTTGCCGACGCGATCGTCCAGTGACTTCTCGGGCCTCAAAAGTTCTTACGGACCTCCTCGATCGCAACCACCGCGTGAAACATACGGGCCACCGCGCGAAACATACGGACCACCGCGCGAAACATACGGACCACCTTATCACGATCAATCTTCCTATGGGGGAGAGTACACGTCCATTGGTGTATATCCGGCTCAGCCACAGCAAGGTGAGACTCGAGGTATTGTATTATTTTCGCGTACGTTCTACTTTCAGAGGATTGCGCACGATCAATATCATTGAAAAAAGAATCGATAAGAATCGAGACGGGCGGTAATTTCAATATTTTTTGCTCCGGAAGCTAGTATTGAAACAGTTTATACGCATATTTTATGCGTGTGTGTGTGTGTGTGTTATATCGAACGTTCAGAAACTGTATTAGCATTATGATACGATCAAAGATGGAAGTTACAGTATACGGCATGAATGCCATATCAAACATGTAAGTTTTAAAGATAGCTCCACTGAATATAGATATTGAACGATATCGCGGCTATTTGCATGCTTGCATGTCTAAATACTTTTCCGATGTACGCAGTCATGCTAGTTCAGTTTCGTTGCGGCGGTAACGAACGTGCATTCGTAGTGCACCACATTCTATATTTACTGCCACATTGCCTTGTTTACTCGTTACTACGTATCTCTGTTTTGTCGATTAAATGTATCCTTGTACTTTTCATTTCCAGTGGTTTTCCACTATTTTTCTCAATCTATATGCTAGGTAAGATAGTGTACGGACGTTATTTTTCATATGATTGATCGTTTGCAGCTCCCATTAAGTTTGTCACGTTTCCTTCCTCTATGATTTAAGATAGTAATACGCGATGCATATTGCAGCGTACGGAGTTCCACATGGAATGACCGAGTCGGTGCATCTTGGTTTTCCATCTATCGACTTCTCTTGGCCCTTTGCCCTCAAGCTCAACGCCTTCACCCTGGCCAAGATACTATTGAAATTGGTTATTTTCAAAATGATAGTTAAGTTTATCGCTGTTATCTGTCTGCTGCTTTTCATCCCCAAACTGGAGATTAAAAAGACGATCAAGAAGGTGAACATGCAGAGTAACAACGATAACGACGACGACGAAGACGAAGGCCGTAGTTTGCGAAACGGTAATGTTCCTTCTTCAGATTTACATTTAAAACGTAATTATAACGGGAAATTCTTGACTGTCTGATTGGTTTCGAGTTACTTCAAATTAATTGTGCATGCACAATATTAATGAAGCGACTGTGTGAAACGACTTACAAAAAGTTGCTTATTCGTATACGTCCGGCGCAATAGCATTTTTTAAATCCTTTTCAACGTTTTTGCGAAGCGTGCTTATGCTTTTGATAAATATCTTGGCAATTTGCAATTTATATATACGTTTGTACACTCGCTTCCGACCTTATCTATATGGTTATGCGATGTAAGTGATCTCTCGTTACCAATGGTAACAAAATTTCAAAATTACCTTAATTAATTTTGTACGATATATCTATACAATTGTACGATATAGGTACTTAATCATAAAAATTCTTCCAAAAACATTCGTGAGCTACACAAATAGATCGCTATTATCGTTATTATTATTCACGGGTATATAATCCTTTGGCATACAATTGCAAGTTGTTCGAGGATGGCAATGTCCTGTTAATATTATAGCCAAAGGAGGATTGCGAAAAGATTCGAAAATTTCTGTCGAATCATAAAATTTATCAGCTACTCTTATGCGCTTAACGTATTGGCTAAAGGACGTACGGTGAGTTTCCTAATATAGTACACCACGACTTTTTCTGAACGACGCTGACGTATTTCACTGCGAAAGATACGGTACGCCAAGGCGCATGACAGTGTCATTTAGCATTTTATGTACTATCGCGAGGTTGAATATGTACAAACTGCCTGCAATCAAGGAGTAAATTTAATAAATTTTGCATATTCGACGAATCACGATCGTATATCGTCAGTAGTAAACCCATTCGATGGGTGGCCGATCGGAAAAACTGATGCTGCGTACTTTCAAGCACGTTGCAAAGATAACGCTGATAGGAATATCCGATAGCCGACAAATTCTCGATACGTTCATATTCTTCGCACTAATCGCATTGTGAATGATGGAATATCGGTAAAAAAAAAAAAGAGTGAAACTTTGGTGTAAAGTTCTAAGCCGAACGATTTAAAATCAATCGACTTGGTCTGTTGACCATAGGTTACCTTACGTAACGTGGCTTTACTAAACGCGTTAAAATCGATTTCAATGCTAACGACGTTTTATTCTTTCAGCTAACTGGAAAGTATGGGACAGACTAAACCTCTTGACCTTGGTGGTAGACGAGGCATGGAAACAACACGAGATCGCGAACGAATCTGGCTCCAGTGAATGCTCCACGCTCGAGTGCCAAGTTCGTAGAGCCTTCAAAAACGACCAATCGTGGCCCGATTATGAGCAATTATTGCAGAATTATATTATGGAGGAAACGCGGCGCCTTCGAATCAAGTCTTAGCCTATTAGCTGTTCGTTGATTCGTCCTTACTTATGGAAATCTTTCGATTCGACCGCATTCAGTGATTCATCCATGATCACATTGCTCATGTCGCGTATTTATGCGTTACCTAGCTATTAGTACAGTCGAGGATAAAAATAAGTGGACAGGTATCGATCAAGTTTCGTTAAATACGGCTTGTTGCCGCACAAACGTGTAAATATTAATTTCTATTATTTATTAAACGCATGTATGTACTATAAGGATATATAATAAACAGGCCGCGGATTTTCGCGTATTCGTAGAAAATTTTCAGATTCGAAGATACACGTTCGAAGAATGTACACCGTATGCAAAAATATATATAGATATTTAAATTATAGTAGCTTTTGTCATATTTAACTAGTCAGCTGTTCTTGACGAATATACTCGTCGCGAAGAAACGATAATAATATCGACGAGCTCAGTCAGCAATAAAATTAAAGAATAAAACAGTCGTTTCATTGTAATTTAATTCTATATTATAACAGTCGCGCATACTCTTTGCTTGTCGAGTATACTCGTCACCGCTTACTTTTTGCCACACATTTTAGGTACACGCTTTTCAAAGAGGTGGAAACAGCTAACTGGTCGATAGACGAAGCAATTTTATATCCACGTTTTTTAATTATATTCGTAAAAATATGAATTCGCTCGAATATCCGCGGTCTATCAACGAATAAAGCTTAAGCATAACACTAATATAGTATGTAGTTCGATTAAACTTCGTTCATATGTACCTGCTTCCTCTACCTATCCACTCTTATTTGTCTCTGCGACTGTACACGCATGTACCTATATGATGTGTATTACGAGATGTACGTGACTCGCTCGTTGTCTTCTCGTTGAATAAATATACGTATATCGTCGACATTGGACACGCATCGCAGATATACTTTCGTTTCTTTCCACTCGTTTTGTTCCATTTCCAGCGAAATCGCGACACTTAGCAATTTCGTTGGTAAAGAGCGGAGGCGCGAGTAATTTTGAAGATTGCCGTTACGTGATCCTCTCGGTCTTCTCGAGTTTTCCGGAGCGGAGAGCACGGTGGGGGTGTGTCCGTTTATAAACGCGACCGCTACAGGCGACAACGTTTCAGTCGTTTGGTCTTGACAGATGAGTATAGTATCGCCCGTCGTTCAAGTCGAAGAAGATTAATCATACCGAATTTCGCACAGCCATTACGAAGTCATGAAGTCCATCGTTTTATTAGGTGAGTAACAGACCGAGAAAAATAGTCCGAGAAGTAAGACGATATGTCGATCAGACACGTGACTTTGATAATGTGCGAAGGAGGAAAAGGACGTCGATTATTTAATACGTTCACTGCGTACCACGCGAATCACAGCCAAAACATCTTTTTAGAAATTGCTGATCGATCTTGGACGAAAATTATACGTTTATTTTTACCGTTATCGTATTTCGCATTAACGGAAAAGCTTATAAAATCGACAAAGGTTTCTTAATTCGACAGATTTTAAGTAAAATGTCAGTAATTGCTTGGGTTAATAAGATCGACGATTAAGGTAGTAAAGGAAACGAATAATTTTGTCTTGCTATCGTTGAAATGTCACGCACTGCGCGTCGAAGCAAACCGATCGCGAACGTTCTTTCGTTTTTCTTCGTTGTTCACAATTCGATAATCGTATGTTGGTATATAATTTCGCGACTTAGCATTGGTTGTCGTATGCGCCCTCGCTTTTATCGAGGAGACGAGCGCCTTGCCCACGGATACGACTACCGTGTCGACGAAACGAGTCAAAGAGCCTAAGGAGATCAAGGAGACCGCGACCGCATCCAAGGACGTAAAGGCAGCTAAAGAGGCGGCCAAAGAGGCGAAAAGGAATAAGAAGGATTGCGCGAAAGAATGTGGAGCTGCGTACGATCCGATTTGCGTCCATGATCCGACCGACGCTAACTTTAAGCCGAGGACCTTCGGTACCCAATGTGCTCTGGACGTTCACAACTGCGAAATGGGAACAAGTGAGTGTGTCTCTTTGTCCGAGTCGGTGATTCGCGCGCATGTCCTTTCAAATATACCTATATTCTGAAATCGGTGACAGATCGAGATGAAATTTGGTCGATATATATGTAACGAGGAACGATGAATCTAAAGTATAACCAGTCAAACCAACACCGATATCGTTCTATTGAAGGAGTTGGTGTTCTTTTCGGTCATTGAGCGTTTTCAGACTTTTTGAGCTGAATACGATATATACACGTATCCCTCAATTATATACCTGACTTGTATCTGCGGCAATTTTCGAGCGCAGCATCTAATAGCGATCAAGATTGATAGTTCCGTTAAAAAAATTATCGCGGTTCTTTAAAAAAAGATAGCGATAACTTTAAAGTCTTTAGAACACTTTCGCTTTACATTGCACATGCATTTGGAGCTAGTTACGATAATTTTGGCTAACGATATTTTTTTCGATCTTCTACTATTTTAGGCCTGTAGCTTGATAATTCAGTTACATGGAATACTCTGTATTCTAAGTTGTCAAGTCTTTTCGTATCTTAGGTTCATCGTTCTTTCCGAGATACTCGCCAAGTTTTATTTCGATCGAGTACCGGTGTTTTCAACCGGTTCAACGCGCCAATTTACGTTTCCTTTCGATTTGTTTTTACAGAGCTGGTAATGAAGAATAAGGGCGAGTGTGCCGGAGCTGGCGGCGTGAGGCTCTCTTAAACAACGGACGGATCTTTCGTTGCACCAACCGTCTGTTTCGTCCACGTTAATGGGAAAACACTTGCAACGCTTATGCTTATGTGACGTCGTGCTTGGGCTTTAGCTCTAGCTTTAGCTTCGGCGAGAATAAAGAAACTCGAATGAAAATGAAACCGAAGATGAAAATAAAAGAGTCCGTAAAAAGAGAAACCGCAAGTTTTGCAATTACGCCCGGTGAGCGATTTTTTCTCAAAAAAGGGCGCACGCAACAGTCGTCGTTAAAAGGAGTACACGTAGCAACAATGTAACACACTCATCGTCCTTATATTACAAATCAAATATTAGTGTCAATAAATTTTGTCACATTATAGTAACAAATTTATTAATAAAACAATTGTGATTCTGCAAAGAAAATTTCACGAATTACGAGTTATTTGATTGTTCCGATTAATATAAACTTGCGAAATACAGGTCGATCGAGGGGCTCGTAATGAAAACGATCCTTATCAAATTACATTCGTTAATACTTGGTAAACTATCGTACATAAAAGAACCCAGAGAGTGAAACTTGTGTATGTACGCATAAATATACACATAACACGTATAAATATATTTACGCTTAATGTATGTACTTAATCGCATCGGTTTTTAGCCACAGCGAATACGCTCGTGCGTACTTCGTTATTGTTACCATGAAATCCGCTAAATGGTAAAACGCGTGAAACTCTCCCGTGACGAAAATCGCTGGTCCTCGTTTGTACGTTTCTTTCCTTTCGAAGAATGATACACGCACGGCAGCAGGTTTAGATTCGTAATGGAAGTGAAGGCGAGTGGCCATTAGCAGGAGGTCGGGGTGCCGGGGTACCAGCGATTACGATAAGTGGTAGATAGGCGATCGTGAGGTCGCGTCAGCTTACTTAGAAGCTCCACCATTGTTTGTCAATCTCGAGCGTTACGCGAAAATCTGCAACTATTAACGGGAACACAAACCGGAAGCCCTTACGAGAATGACGGAGGGAAGCAAGAGGAGATCGAATAGTGGAACGAACGTGCGAGGAGAGTTGGCGCGACGAGTCGAACGAACCGGGTGCCTCGAGAAACAAGAAGCTTTTGCTCCCTACGAGGATGATTCCAGTCGTTCGATTGTTGCTCGTGCTCTCGGCAACTGTTTCTCGGGCAAATTGTAAGCCGCGACCAGACACTTCTCGCGATTGCGCGCATTCAGAGTCCACTCTCGAACGATCCGCAACTACGGGAATGGAGTCGGAAATGGTAACGGGAACGATTTCGGCGGATGGTAACGTCGCGATCACGATTCTCGAGGAGCTCGAGAATCGTTTATCTCGTCTGGAAAGAAGACTCAGGGCGGTTGAGCAACCCGGTAAGCGTAGCTTTTTATCTCGTCCGAGCTTTCTTCTTTTTCCTCTGTTCTTTTGTTTTTTTTTTTCTGTTTCTTTTTTATCAATCGTATCGTCCACGTAATCGTTTCGAAACACGTCGAAAATACGAATGGTTCGCAGTTTGGCAGATGAGCTCCGCCGAGGAAGATTGGGAGATTTGCGCGGAAGGGCCGTGTAGGTGTCAGCCGGAAACTAAATCGGTGTCTTGTTGGAGGCAGAATCTGTTGGATCTTCCCGCGGCGCAACTAGTTCCTCGGGATGTATTGAAATTGTAAGCCTTCTCTCTCTTCCTCTCGCTTCTCCTCCCTCGTCGTGTATCTTTGTCAAAGAACGAACAGAGAGGCAATGGAATCCGATCGAGAAAATCGTTGGAAAAACGGTGCTTTCAGGGACCTGGCTGGCAATCGACTGACGGCGCTTCACAGGGATACCTTCTTGGACATGACGCGGTTGAATCATCTGTAAGTATAGAAAGGGTTGAAGCCGTTCTCGCCGTTTCGAAATATCGTAAAAGTCGTCTGGAAAGTTACATTTAGCGATTTAGAATTATTTCCGGTTATGAATAATCGTAATTGTAACTGTGTGATTTATAATTTCTGGTGGATCGTGTAAAATCCAATTTTTCAACTTTAACTCACGAATGACGAAGGCTGGCTCGATTCTTACTCCGACTCGTGCACATATTTTACGATTATTACTTTTCATGTTACACTTACGCAGTCGTCTGGAAAATTACATCATTATTCTATCAAGACTATTGTATATTAACGATTTTATTGCTTTACTGCATTTTCAGTCGACTCTTCGTTTTATTGTCATAAAGTAGAATATGCTTGCGACGAAGATGACACAGCGTCTGCAACGTTTAATGTTAAAAGACACTTCTTTCTTCTATAAACTGATACAACTCTTCAAAATTTATTTGAGAAATTTATTGAGAATTCTCTGACGTTGCTCGAAGAATACCGCTTGCCAGATTACTGTGCGCCGCGTTCGAAACTCGATGATCGTCGTTTTCTTTTTCTTTTCAGAGATATCAGCGACAACTCGATCGAGCATCTTCCTCTAAACTTGTTCTTCTCGCTGCACGCTGTCACGCGCATCAGGCTGAGCAAAAATTTGCTCGGCGAGTTGCACCGATCTCAGTTTCTGAGCACGCGAAATCTCCGTATTCTGTGAGTGATCCTCGAACCGACTGACCTTTTCCTTTGAGACAGCGAACCAAGTGGATAAAATCGAAGCTCAAGTTTGCTTGATCGTATCGATAATTTCTTTTTCTATCTCACCTTTTTATTTCTCCATCTTTTCTTGCAGCTAGACTCGATGCAGACGAGCGATTGATTGTTCGCGCGTTATCGTAATCCACACGCAGTGTCATTGAAGAAGGAGCATTCATAGCCGCGGAGTAACACTCGTTGTAGACGAGTCGATAAAAATGAATATTACGATAAATCCATGAAGTATAGTATTCTAAAATATTGGTAGTCGATTAAAATATATTTGCGAAATATTCAAGACATCGGCAAGAATATTTTTCGTTCGTACCTAAATAGAGAGAATAATGTAGGATTGATTGTATGGAATTTTAAAATTGCTCTCCTGCAAGAAATTAAAATACGCAAATTTTTACGCAGATTCGTACTTGTATGAAATGGGATCTAAATAGAGATTCGTCTTACTTTGGTTATTTTGTACGTTTCTATGCCTTGAAATTTTCCATAAATGCATAAAAAGTCGACAGTCGTTCTGTTAATCCCCTGTGGTCTTCGTACGATCCAACAGACTGCTCAAACACGCGTGAAGTTCTCATCCGTGATAAAATTCGCTCGTCTGCATTGCATCTTACTTCTGAAATAAGATACAAATATATACAGACAGCATCTCATATTTGTCACGACGCAGGGACGCGTCGTCCAACAGGCTGCAAACTCTACCGGAAAGTCTCTTCCTAAGTACCACGTCGCTGGTACTGCTCGATCTGTCCTGCAATCAATTATCGAGCTTCGCATCGGAAACGTTTCGCGGCTTATCGACGCTGGAGGAGCTCTTATTAGGAAAAAATCGTCTGTCAATCCTTCCCGTAGACCTGTTCAAGGATCTGACGAATCTGAAGTACCTCGGTTTGGAAGAGAACCGGCTAAAACAATTACCCGACGAGTTGTTTCGAGCGCAAGCGTCGCTTCAGGAATTGAACGTAAGGGGCAATCAACTGACAGAGATATCCGCTAGTTTGTTGGCTCCGCTCGAACGTCTGCGCTCCCTCGAGATGTCTAACAACAAGATAGCCAGAGTAAATATCGGATGTAACTAGCGAATATCGTTCATTCATCTCACTCTTCGTTTCGTTCTTTCCGTTGGTTCACACGAATCCCGTTTGCTCGCCATAGATCGATTCGTTGGCCTTTCATGGCTTGGTAGCGTTGAAAGAACTTCAACTGGGACACAACCGTATACGAAACTTAACACCGGGACTATTCTCAAATTCTACTGGTTTGGAGAGACTGGTGTTGTATGCAAATGGTATAGAAAGCCTGTCACGTGGCGCGTTTCAAGGCTTGTCAAACTTGACTTCTCTGTTTCTGCACTCGAACCACCTGAGCAATCTGCATCCCGATTTGTTCGAGGATACGCCGAGTCTGCGCAAACTGTGAGTAACATCCTCATTGAAGCAATACGAGGAACTCTTTTTGTTGACCGTTGTTGCATCATCTTTTAAACGCTATTTAGCAAATATCAACTTGGAGAATGATATTGCCCCGAGCCTGAAGCAACGCGATCGGAGAAACGTTTGGCTGTTGCTTCTGTTACACAGCGAGTCTGTTTGTTTCTAATAACGAGTTGTTCAGGCGCAAATACATTATGAAATTATTGGTAAATTGTACGCACTGAAGAAACGTGTTTTTCTATCGCGACGTGTTATCAGGTGTTTTCTGCTTTTCTTCGATAAACAATTTTTATGCGATCGAGATAGCGAGGTATTGAGATTAGATTTTCAACTTTTCTTCACCCGTTCATGAAGAAAAAAAATTGTTTGCTGCAGACTTTTGTTATTATTAGACTAATAATAGAAACGCGAATAAATACGGGGAAACATGGAACACAAACAAAATATTTCTCGTCGTTGCTTCAGTGATAACCTAGTTTAACACTTTGATTGCCACGTTGGTCATATACGACCGGCCACGATTTCTCCTGTGACGCCACGGTGGTTATCGGTGACCGGCGCGTTTCAACTTCTTACAATTGTAAAAACTGTATGAAAATTGAGAGTTAGGACATTTCGAACATAACCGATAAATAGAAGATACTTTGAAACAAAAAGTGCCCTATTGAACGATTAAATATTTTTATTAGAACATCGATAAAAAAAAAACGAGAACGAATCTTGCATCTAACGGTGCACTGTGTTTGCATCCATATCTTTGAGGACTAATCTACGAATATTATAAACACAGCGTAGAAGATAATCGTAAAATGCTGCTTTATAATCGTATAATCAAAGTTAGAAGTGTGCACATACCTTGCTGTTATATATACAATGAGCAAACACTGTTTACTAATATCTTCTGCACGTGTCAACAATGTATTCCGCACGTTTTGCTTACGATGAAACAACGAATGCGAATGGTTTGTTGAAACGAACGAAGCCTCGTTACAATATGTCGCTATCAATTGTTACCAAGACGCCACGGTAGTCACCCGTGACCACCAATAAGATAAACGGTCCATCGGGGAAGAACGTTGTCTTACATCGTCGATTTATTATTATTTTGCCATTATATGCTTCGAATACTCCCGAATACTTCGATAAAAATACTCTCGTGGTGTCCTGAGCGAAACGCGTGATTTTGGCGTGGCAGTCAAAGTGTTGCATCCTTCGAACAATAAAAATACTCCCATGGCGTGCTCAGCGAAACATGTGATTTCGGCGTGGCAGTCAAAGTGTTAACGTCGATAAGCCACTAAGGAAGACACGGTATTACCTACAAGAGCGGTCCCGAATGCCTAGGCAGCTGGAGTCAAATTATCTATCTTCTTTGCCACCTCGGATCTTCGACACGGTGCAGTTCATCGAGCAGCTTCGCCTTGCTAGAAATCCATGGCACTGTGACTGCGCGGTTTCCTATTTGGCCATGTGGTTGCAAAGAATGTACCTAGCGCGAGTAAACGAGACAAAACCAGGCGAAGATTTGGGCGTTTGGGAATTTGGCGCTGGAGCGGTTTGCAGAGGTCCTGGCACACTCGGTGGCAAATTATTGCTACATCTGACGTTTCACGAGCTGTGCGAGGGCCAATGGGCCTCGATGAGGGGCTTGGTTCCTCGACTTCCAGTCGATCGCACCGGTAGTGGTGGCGGTCGAGTCGTAGCTTCCACGGACGATCCGTTCTCGCGAAACGAACCTATTTCCGTGTTTAATCTGTCTCGTTCTCTCTCTATGGAACGATAACAGCCTTTTTTTTAAAGAGGAAACAGCTCGCCTCGCGTTACATGTATATATTCGCTGTTATCGAAGAATTCTCGAACGAAGTTTCTCTCTATTTTTTTTTCTTTTTTTTTTACATATCTCGTCATTTTCTCTCCTATGTACAATATATGTATTTTATCGTAGGATTTTATCGACCGTATAAAATGGCTCATGGAAGCACGGAAAAAAGCAGCGATTAAGGCACTTGTCAAGTGTAGGCATACTAAGGATAAAATGAACATGATCGCAGACGAATTGTACGTTTCTCTGACATAACGTTATATGAGCATAGATTAAACGCATACAAGACAGACCTGACATGAAAAAGATCCAAGTACGTATTTGTTACGCCCTCTGCGATTTACTACAGCAAACGTAGGAATTTCATTCAACTGAATTGCCGAAAGTGATAAAATCAAAGTAGCTGTACGAACATATTCACCTGTCGGACTCCAAAAAAAAGAAGCTTTTTCGCTGTGGTTTAAACGTATACGTGCACTGTTATTGTTTTATGCATTATTTTCTTCCCTAACTATCAAGAATAAAAAAAGCTTGAAAGCTCGTTTTAGAGGAAGATTTTAAAATTGTACGGGGCAACAATTCAAACCAGATATACACATAGTGGCTGAACATTTATTATAGAAAATTTATATGAATGTACTATTTTCATTAGTTTCATTTTCAAATTTCATTAAATTTCCATCTAACTTGCGCTAACGGTCGCTAAATATTGTTTAAGAGTTTACTGATGTAACAGCGATAACAGTGCTAATGAAATTTCGAAATGTTTTACATAATACGCACAATAATAAATGTTTTCTATGATAAGTGCTCAAACACTTTCGCGAGCCACCGTATCTCTTTAACCGCGTTCGTTCTTTTCGTGTCTCACCGACTCGTTTCACCGTATTCGTTTGACCGATTGTACGACACGAAAATTTCCGGTCGATATGTCAACCGAGAGTCGTATGTATTTGCACAATCTGCAACGGTTCGACGCCGCGCCTCCAACCAAAGTGATTGAGCAGACAGCGCCTCCAACCTAAACCAACGAATGGATGGGGGAAGGTCGAGTCGACAGCGTGGGGGAACGTCGCTGCCTCGGTGCCGTCGACCTGTTTCAACAGCCGTAATACAGTTTACGACATACAACAGTCGCATCAGCATCCACAAAGGCGATGACCGAGCTGCTAGGACGATTACTGGAAATTCTTGAGGAGGAAAATGCGTTCGATCGTACGGGTAACGAACCCGTCTTACACTTCGTCCATCCGGAAGAGCTACAGGTGAGCCTTTCGACTGCAAATTGTGGCTTGATGCGCACGTGCGATGCAATTTTGTTGCGATGTTGCGATGGCGACGCTGCGCGATTTGAAAGGATTTTGCTCTTAATCCTTTCAACTTCGAATTACGCTTTTTTTTTTATGTCGTATTCATAATGTTCATTAGCTAATTAAACGATAAACGTACCTGTGTTTTAGTTAAAACGGGTATATTATGTCTTGTTTACAAAATCGAGAAGTTTCTCAGATCGAGTAATTTTTCTCATAGGCTGTAAAAGATTCAGCGCGTTCAAAGCGTTATACGATGTAATGCACACGAACGTGCTATTACGTTATCGAAGATATAAAAATGCCAAATCGTACAGTTTCGTTGCTATGAAATTGCAATAACATGACACCGCTCGTTCGTCGCATCGAGTCTAAACGAGTTTGCAGAAATTTCCCTCGAATATATTTTGATCGTATTTCGCAGAAACGATTATCGATACAACTGACCGAGGAACCAGCTACCAAAGGAGAAATCGAGACAACAATAAGACAAACGATTCGATACTCTGTCAAGACGTTCAGTCCACATTTTCATAATCAGCTGTACGCTGGTGTCGACGAATATGGCTTGGCAGGTTCTTGGTTGACAGATGTGTTTAATACCAGCCAGTAAGCTTTTATCTAAGATATTTTATATGACGTTGATTCGTTGATTTGGAAGGCGTGTTCTCGCTTATTTGAAAACAGTTTATCGTATGTTTGTATTTTTGTTCGTGAACGTGACTCTTATAGTCCCATAAAACGTCTATCGCATAGATCTTGCGCCGTTATCGCACATCTAACTACTATACCTTTATTATTTTAGTCTACCGTTAGTTATCCTTGTTAGTGTCTAATTGTACCTAATTAACACAGGTACACACGACGACATGCTGCTTAATGTGTCAATAAGTTGAATTCTATCATAGATATATAGCATTTGTTATTATCAATGATAAATCGTGCGACCTATCCCCGCGGATACGATGCTTTCATTGTGTACACAATATTTTTGCACCTTTGAAAAGCTATCCGAGAAAATTATAATCGTAAGAATTATAATGATAATCCTCTTGCGAGCATTTTTCGCCAACGCGTTTCCTTCCAAACGCAGACTGTTAACAAGAATTGTAGTTTAACGAATTGCAAGGCAAATTACATAGCTTAATTCAAACACGATTCTACCTTATACCTGTAATTTGTTAGATATACGTACGAGGTGGCTCCCGTGTTCACCGTGATGGAACGACAAATAATAGAAAAATCGTTGGAACTGGTTGGGTATCCTCCGTTACCAGAAGGAGATGGCATACTTTGTCCTGGTGGTAGTATATCAAATATGTATGGTATGGTGATGGCTAGATACAAAATGATCCCGGATGTAAAGAGGAAAGGTCTCGCGGGTCTTCCGCCGATGGTTTGTTTCACCAGTGAGGCTGGCCACTATTCAATCTCTAAAGGAGCCCACTGGTTGGGCCTAGGAACCGATCACGTTTACAAGGTAGAAGAGGATCATCGCATTCACCTCGGTCGTTAACACTTTGCAAGCAGCGTTGGATATTCGTATACATCATACGATATTAACTAACTCATAGTCAGCTAGTTATTCTTAGAAGTCGTTTAGCAAATTGCATTTTATATTTTTTATAGCCAATAACATATTGGATAACGTACTGACATATTTCTATTAATCGTTATCGTTACGTCTATTATCTTGGTAAAGAGAAAACTGGATTATCGTTATCACGAACGTCGAACATTTTATTTTATAGCGATAAATCGAAGATTCGTATAAAAAGGGTGTTTTTTTTAACCCCGTTTGATAACCGAATGCATATACTGCTGTTGGAAAGTGTGAACCACCGTTTGTAGACTAAATTTCGTTGCATTTTAGACGGTTAACAGGAGATTCGTTCGTTCATTCGATAGGTCAAATGCGACGAATTTGGACGAATGCGACCAGACGAGTTAAAGGCTGCCATAGCGGAAGTCAAAAAACAGGGCCATTTACCTTTCTTCGTGAACGCTACATGCGGCACCACGGTCCTCGGCTCCTTCGATCCGCTGCCGGAAATCGCGGCCATCTG